GGACTTGTGCTGTGTTCTGTCTTGTCCAAAATGTTCTCAGTATCAGCAGGAAAAAGTTCCATATATATTTCTAAAGAATCCATAATACCACTATGAAATTTCTGTGTCAAAACCATGGATTGTCTTTGAACAGGCTGGCAGCAATTAAAATTTTCAGACTCATTTTTATGGCAAATAAGCTTGTCTCCAGCTTTCAAATGCACTGATGGTCCTGATTCCTACAGTATTTTAACATCAATCTTCAATGCCAAGAAATCAAAGCCCAAAGAACAATGCTATCGGTTTCAAAAACATATTTTAAATCATAAAATCCAGTGTACTTTTAAATGAAACAAAGTGTCTATGTTTGATTCAATTTGTAGCAATGCCACTTAAAATCCAACAGAAACAAAAAAAAAATACTTAAGATTGAACTGTTTCTATAAGAACGTCGAATAACACCTATGGAGTCTAGGGGAGTTTGAGGATAGACATGCAACCTGGGACTGTTTAGCGTAGAGAAGACTCAAGGGAATCTCATCAATGTATATAAATGCTTGAGGAGAGGGTTCAGTGTAAATAGAGTCAGGCTCTTCTCGGTGTCCAGCGCCAGGCAATGGACACAAACTTCCCTGTGGTGCCCCTCTGACCACCACAAAGCATTTCTGTGCTGTGCAGATGACTCAAGTATTGAAAGTCTGCAACGAGGTTTCCCCAAAGCCTTCTCTTCTCAAAGCTGAATTAGTCCACCTCCCTCAACATTTCTTCATCTTCCTGGCCCTCCTTTGGGCTCTTCAACAGCTTCACGTCTTTCTAATATTGAGGGGCCTCAGGCCTGGATGTCCCCACTTCAGGTCGAGCCTCACAAGGACAGAGCAGAGAGGGACAAACTACCTCCCTCCTTCTGTTGGCCACCCCTCTTTAGGTGGAGTCCACGTAGTTGGTTTTCTGGGCTGCAAGTACACACTACTGGCTCATGTTCAGCTTTTCATCCACCAGGAACCCCAAGTCTTTCTCCACAGAGCTGCTCTCAAGGAGTTCTTCTCCCATTCAATAACCATATTTGGGGTTGTTCTGACCCAAGAGCAACATCTTGCACTTGGTCTTGTTGGATCTCATTAGGTTCAACAAGATCTCCAGAAGCTACCTGGATGTGGCCTTGGGCACCCTGCTCTACTTGTTCTAGTTGGAGTAGGGATTGCACCAGATGGACCCAGAGGGACCTGCCAACACCAACTGTTCTATGATTCCGTGATTCCTTGATGTAGGCTCAAACCTTTTTACTCACCTTGTAAGCCAGACCCCATAAAGCTGGTCTTCCAATAAAGACGCATTTTGCTCCCAATGCCAGTGCTTTCAATACGTCGCTTCCTTTCCGTATACCACCATCTAAATAAACTTCAACTCTGCCTCGTACTGCCTCCACAACTTCAACCAGAGCATCTATCTGGAAAGAAGAAGCCATTTGCAACTCAGGCTCATCTTTTGGGTTCAAGACAAAGAGATAATATCCCACACAGACAGGCAAGTATACTACAACAGAATAAGCTCTCAAAATGAAATATGGAAAGGCATCATAAATAACTCAGTACCAAAAACTGTACAATACAGTGCTTGTCCTTGCTTTTTTTGCCAGATAGTTTTGTTTATATGGATATTCCTATATGTGAAAAAGTAACATTTTCACTTGATTTTGGTGTGGGTTATTTTTGAGATTTAAACAATAAATTTCAATAGAAATAGTATTTTTTAGTATCTTACTTTCATTTGAGACAATGATGAATTATACTATTGTAAGAAGAGTGTTAGACTTCTCTCTACAACTGTCTAAATTGCCAAACTCACTTTTCATCCCAATCCTAGTGACCACCCGTAGAAAACCTCCTGAAAACCCATAAAGCAGCTATGAAGGATTTCATTAGCTATGCAGCACAATCAATATATACTGTTTCCTTCAAGCTACATCTCTTGATTCCCTGAGGTCTTTTCTGCAGTGGTAGGCTGGTAGCACAGAGCAGCACCATGCAGAGAACTGGTTCTAGTCCCAAGGGCACTATCACAGTGGCATGACCTTGCACAAAACACAATTAACTCTCCACAGCAAACTCAAAGATTCTTTTCTTCAGTCTCTTACACTCTCTTCCTTGATTCTCACCTTCTTAATGAAGGCAGCTACAACTAAGATCACTGAATAGATTTTTCCAATTAGTTGTCACTTCTCAGAATTTCAAGCTGAAAATTTTGGGTCTGAAATTTTCCAAGAGTAGCTCACCAAGAGCACTGGCAGTAGCCTCTGTTGCCAGATTTGGAACCGGAGAAGTGCTGAACTAAGTATCTACTGTTTTATCTGTGCATGAAAGAAAATTTACATGAACATCATTTCCATTATTATGTCTATAACATTTAGAAAAATTATTTATTATTATCACCCTTGACATAAAAGAGAATTTCCTGGCACTAATTTTATTTTACAGAGGAAAACAAAACAAAGCAAACAAACAAACAAAAAAATCTGTAAGAATATGAAACTGCAATACAGACATGTAAATTAAGAACAGTTGGAAAAATGGAAACAAAATTAAAGCAGTGAAGTATACATAAGACCAAAAAACTATTATTTCTCGGTACAGATTAAAAAGTGGGAGAATTTTTGTCTGGATAAATTACACTTTATTTTTTTTTTTCCCCTTGCTTCATGAAGTCAGGATTCCTATTTAGACCTGAGTCTACAATGATGCAAACAGATCTCTCACTAAATCTAGTTGCACTGTTTGTGCATATTTTGGCATATGTGAACAATGAGAGTACATTATTCTCTCATTTACACATTTTTGGTTCCAGAGCTTTGTTTTATTTTTCATGCAGTGTAAGAAGAACATGTGTGCACTGCATCAGCTCACGATGAAAATTTTTATTAAGTTAAGCCAGCAGTTTTGCTACAGTAATGGGAACTCAGTGATGGTTATAGACCCTTCCTGTGACACTGAGGAAATACTTGAGTAGGCAGCCCATGTTGAGGCAAGCACCTCAGTTGTTTAAATCTATAGCATATCTGCATATGTCCGCAGACGTGCAACACACAAGTCTACCAGAGGCATATTTAGTAAGATTTGTGTGCCAGTAGCCAAGTTAGCACAAACATGCACACAATACTCACGGGACATCCATTTTCTCACTTACAGTGGCAGGTGCTCCATCCAGTTGCCTTCCGCCATGGTTGGACACGATAATTCCCTGAACTCCATGCCTCACTGCGAGCTCTGCATCTTCTTTTGTCAAGATCCCTTTGATGACAATGGGCAGGTGAGTCAGGCTCCTCAGCCAGTAGATATCATCCCAGGTGACCGAAGGATCCAGGCTGTTGGGTGGCAGTCCGTACTCAGATCGGTCATTTCCCTACAGCCATGAAACAGAACAAAACCCCATCTGTACTGTAACAACAGAGACTTGAATTCTTCCCCTGCCCTAGAAGAGATTAATTAAACCTCTAGCAATCATGTTTAACAGTGTTGTAAAGCGTGCATTTCTAGATGACAACAATGAGGATGAAAATCAGTGTCTTTGAGGAAGCTGCGCTGGGATCTTAGAGCCAGTAGCCAGGCTGGCAGGAGGTCAAACTAGAAGGCTGCAGAAAAAGGAGGGGAAAATCTTTGTCCAAGATGTAGCAGATACCGAAGCAGCAGTTACCCAGTGGTTTTGTCTCATGTGGTACACACCAACACAAGGAATGAAAGAAGGAGATCATTTCACAAACCTCAAAGGCTCCCTCCAAGTTCTTCAGTTTCATGTGGGGAGGAAGTCGGAAGCCATTACGGACATCATTGCGCCTTTTGCCAGTGTAGGGCAGATCCACAGTGAGGACTAGGCCCTGGAATCCCAAGGCCTCTGCCTGTTGGACCAATTGCCTAGAGACTGTCCTGTTGCGGTGGATGTAGAGCTGGAACCACCGAAAGCCACCAGGAGCAGCTGCAGTGATCTCTTCCAGCGAGCAGGTAGAGTAGGTGCTGGCAATGTAACAGATGCCCATCGCTTTGGCCGCTTTGTGAGGTATTGAAAAATAATCAGAATGAAGGTCACTTGAGCATTGCTGCCAGACAATGGCTATGATTTTCTGTTTGTACATTGTTCACAGAGAAAACCTGAACTCCTGTTGTTTGTATATCCTACCAAAGACAGAGGTCTGCCAGCTGGCAAATACATCTCAGACATTAAAAACAGCTGACTTTGCCACATGCTGTTGTAGGATCATGTTTAGGGAATTAAGGTAAATTACCAACTGTTGCTTTCATTTCTCAAACTTAGTACAAGGGAGGTGATTGTTCTCCTCTGCTCTGCCCTGGAGAGGATCCATCTGCAGTACTGCATCCAGACCTGGGTCTCCCAGTACAGGAAGGATTAGGAGTCATTGGAGCAGGTCCAGAGAAGGGCCATGAAGATGATCAGAGGGCTGGAGCACCTCTCCTATGAGGAAAAGTTAAGGGAGCTGGGCTTGATCATCCTGGAGAATAGAAGGCTGTGGGGAGAGCGCATTGTGGCCTTCCAGTAAATAAAAGGATAATTTTCACACAACCTCATAGTAATTGGAAAACAAGAGTAGTATTAAACTAAAAGAGGGGAGATTTAGCTTAGATGTTGGGAATAAATCTTTATTCAGAACATTCTGAAGCACTGGCACAGGCTGCCCAGAGAAGCTATGGGTACCCCATCCCCAAAAGTGTTCAAAGCCAGATTGGATGGGGCCCTGGCCAGCTTGACCAGGTAGGAGGTGTCCTTGTCCAGAGCAGGGGGGATTGGAAATGGATGATTTTTAAAGATCCTTCTGACCTAAGACGTTCTATGATTCTATGATCTTAGTAATTTTTTAAAAAACAGGGCCTTCATCCTCTTGCATGGAATCATGTCTGCTTCCTTCTGGAATGCACATGCAAATGCTCAGTGTACACAGAAATGCACACAGGAAAAAAAACAAAAAACACTTGTTGCTCTCCAAACTTAACATACGATTATGCAGAGAGGCCCTGCTTTTCTCCAAGGCTGACACTGTTCTGATCAGCACTGAGGAATATACAGGCTGAGTCTTGTCCACCTCTTTATGTCCTACCTAAAGCCCCTGACACTGTGTGACCCCTTGGTGTAGCACAACAATGTGTCCATAGTTTCTGACTCAGAGGCAATATAGGGCTGATCTGGTAACAGTGGCAGCTGAAGAAGTCCAGCAATACTTGGCTTCTCCTGCACTCTGTGGTCATTCATAAACAAGGGTGAAATAAGGTTTGTCCTTTGGAATCTGAGCACTTTGCTCAGTCATACTTCAAACTATCCTAACAGCTTCTCACCTGTGAAGCTGGAAAAACAATGTTGTTTTATTTTATTTTATTTTATTTTATTTTATTTTATTTTATTTTATT